CACGCACGCACGCACGCACGCACGCACGCACGCACGCACGCACGCACGCACGCACGCACGCACGCACACACACACACCACATACCTTGCTCTATCTTGGTGAGTATGGATCGCGCACACTTCACACACACACCCACCCATCCACGCACGCACGCACGCACGCACGCACCCACGCACGCACACGCACACACACACACCACATACCTTGCTCTATCTTGGTGAGTATGGATCGCGCACACTTCACACACACACCCACCCATCCACGCACGCACGCACGCACGCACGCACCCACGCACGCACACGCACACACACACACCACATACCTTGCTCTATCTTGGTGAGTATGGATCGCGCACACTTCAGGAAGGTCTCCTCCACGTTACCTCCTGTCAACGCACTCGTCTCCAAAAACATCAGCTCTGTCAAGTAGAAACATCGTCACTCACACGCGCCGCCAGGGGGCGCCGGCGTCACGACTTCACTTACACGCTCACCACCAGGCGGGTGCCGTCACATTTGCATACACCCGTCACTAGGGGGCACTGACAATGGGATGTTTGTAAGAAATTGCCACCAGCTGGTGCCGGCCATCGTGGCTGACTTGTTGTTCGATGATAATCTTACCATCATGAAACATTTCCTATAATTTCAATTATTAATTTGTGACCAATAATTTTTACAAGAGGTTGATACAGCAGATTTTCAAGGGAAAGGAAAGTGTTGCTTTTCGGGGGGAACCACTGAGGGGCGCGACGATTTACGGCAAACATATATAATCATAGTAGATCCAACAAGCAGGTGGCACCACCTACATCACTATTACAGGTGGCGCTCCCTACATCATTATTATAGGTGGCGCTGGCTGCTGCTGAAACCTCAACTGACCAGCAGAAAAGCTGAGACTAGCTCGTTGCCGTGGCGACTCATTAACGCTGACTCACCGTTCTCCTGCGCGTATCGGCTTGCCTCCAGGAAGGTCACCTCCCTCTCCGCCTCCAGGTCCCTCTTATTGCCGACGAGGATGATGACGATGTTGGGGCTCGCGAGGGTTCGTGCGTCCGTCAGCCAGTTAGTGAGAGCGTTGTACGTCTCACGGCTGCAACACACACACGTGTTATCAGAGATGCCAACACTTTTCTGAGCAAACTGTAGTGAGGATGTCTGAAATCTGTAGTCCGAGGGTCACGCAGTGACCTGAGTATGCTAGGGGGTTCGGGACATGCACCCCCCCGGAAATTTTTTGATTCCGAGATGCAATTTCCTGCATCCTGGGATCCAAAATGACAATAAGTTCACACTGATATTTGCTGCTAAATACATAGTTATTTTCAATCATGTTATATCAATGTAACACTGAAACAAAACACTTGAAATATGATCAAAATAATTTTTTTTTTATCGTAATAAAAATCGTAGTTGTATGCAAACTGGTCGTAGTCGTCAAAATGCATACGAAATTCTTATAAAATACGAATAAATCGTATTGGTTGGCATCTCTGTGTTATTGTTACAGTCGTGGCTACGTGTCCGGTTACCGGATGCTCAGCTCCCAGGCTACTGAACCCAACTATATTTTACCCAGTAAAAACAATAAACAATAAGTTTTTACCATAATATTACTTACCTTTAGGTATTTTATAAAAAAAAAGGTGTTTTTATAACTTTTGAAGCAATAGCAAATCCAGTAAAATCAACGATTTGAAAGGGGACGTGGCCTAATCGTGACGTGGATTTGAGACGTGTACGTCTCATGGCTGCAACACATGCAGGGCATGAAATTCAGATTTTTTTGCACCACGCCAGAAGGCTGGCAACAGCAGTTGTTTTACCAGCCCTCACCATAATTTACCATTTATAAGACTGTTTCACTGACTCTTGCTTGTCCGAAAAATGTAGCGTGCGGCATCGCGCATAATAGTAGCTATTATAATATAAATATAATAATGTTATTGTTATCGTTAGAGGTAGGATGCGAGTCTCTTTCTCATCACGGCTGCAACACATGTTATCGTTAACGTTAGATGTAGGATATGAGTCATCATCAAAAGCTTCAACACATGTTACGATATATTATAGATATATATGTATCTATCTGATCTTTACAGTTCTCGGCATAATCACACTTGGCAAAATCTGGAATTAACAGAGACCTTGCAACATTTAGAATTGCGTGTGACTTTACCACAAACTTCATGTTCGTTTGCTGTTTCAGAGCTGCAACACATTATCGTTAAAGGAATAATAGGTACATTGATTACGCAATGTTGATGAATGCTAAAGTAACGGGCACCCTGTGTAGTTAGTAAGTACATTACCTTATAGCCAAACGCGTATTAGTTTGTCCAATATCACTGCTGGTTACTAAGAAATGTCTCATTGAAATCCGCAGTCCAAAAATCACTTGTTTACGGTTTCAAACCGCTGTCGGCGAAGCGGGTGTGATACAAATTTATAGTGCACCAGACATTTTCTCACGCATGCTCGGCCGTACGCAATGCTATCATCAGTGATTTCGTAAACATGGACGCTCGTGATAAGGAACTTTTTGTCAGGGCTGTCCACGTGCGTCCGTGATTAGTATGTGTGTTTTACTCTATTTCCATGTTTAGTCCGTGGCCGTGGTTACACCGCTGACACCTCCGTTTCATCTGGTGTCCAAAACATACGGGCCACACAAATGTTTACGTCATCGCTTGACTCCTGGATGACATTTACGGCACGTAAATGATATGTTGATACATATCAACAACCGATTTCAAGTCTTGTTTGAAATGTAACCAGCAGTGATATTGGACAAACTAATACGCGTTTCAACTTTGGCTATAAGGTAATGTACTTATTAACGACACAAGGTGCAGTTACTCTAGCATTCGTCCACATTGCATAATCAATGGACCTATTATTCCTTTAACATTGTTAACTACATATAATATATAAATATATCTCTCAGGATATATGTCCCTATCTGATCCTCAATTTTCAGGGGAATTCTAGAATGACTGAGACATTGTGCCGTATAGAAATGCATGTACCACATAATTCGTGTTAGTTTGTTTCACTGCACGTTACCTTGCTAACCGCACTTCCTAATTCTAACAACTACACAAATATTTGTCTGTGAGAGGTTTGGGACATTTCACACGCACGCACGCAGGCACGCACGCACACACGCAGGCACGCACGCACGCACGCAGGCACGCATGCACGCACGCACGCACACACACACAGCAGGAACAATAAGCTCGCTCACCTGGTGATGTCATAGACGAGTAGCGCCCCGGCGGCGCCGCGGTAGTAACTCCGCGTCACCGACCTGCAAACATCACATGATCACTCACTCACATCGCCACGGCAACGCTCGCGAACACCCGACGCAACACCACGTGTCCGCTTGGCTTAAAAGTTAATTAAGTTAATTTCAACCCCTAAATAGATGATGCAAAATATGGTTTGTTTTCAAACTTTCCCAACTAGACAGATACTTTCACTCTCCCGACAGTATATCAACACTAGTATCCCGGGAAAAGTGGAAATGCGTTTGTTTCGAACCCCTGTGCAATCTAGGTTAGGGTTAGGTCAGGGGTGGGCAAACTGCGGCCCGCGGGCCGCATGCGACCCTCTACGGGGTTCTGTGCGGCCCGCGGAAGCCTGCAGCAAATAAAAAAATAAAAAAAGAATTTTTTTTTAAAATTAATAAATTTGTGTGAAAGTCAACATGTTTGTGCTTGAACCGAGACTGACTTTTTCAGTGTCATACAGATTAGTGTTCTATTGTCTCTGGTTCGCTCTGCAACGCCATTTCAGCTAATTATGGTCCAGAGATGGCGCCCTTGAAGCGAAACGCACGTATTATCTTAGAGCGCGCCGCCCGATTTTAAAAGGTGCGGCCCTTTGACTTTTCATGGCCCACTGATGCGGCCCTTGTTTTGAAAAGTTTGCCCACCACTGGGTTAGGTGCTGGTAGAAACGTTGGACAATCACAATCATAGCCCTATAATACCTATATAAATGCATTCTGATACAACGGAGCCACCGTACATCAGTGAGAAGAACTACTCGTGAAGACTAGTGACATGCAGCACATCACGATGATATATTTGCACATATATCAGGGGTAGAAATTAACTTTTGAACGACAGACTCCCTGCCCTCAAAAAGTGGGAGTCCGCAGCAAAATGAGGGAGTCCGCAGTCTGAAGTTCAAAATTAAAGATATTAACAATAACACGTGCTTATTTTGAAGATTCATGCGGTTGCACGTCTGCCAAATTTTCACGGTAATTCCGCGAGGCCATGCTCTGGAATGAACTAGTTAGAATGGCAGAATTTTCAGGGAGTCACACGTACTCCTGCATATGTAAAATCAGGGAGTCCGACAGTAAATCAGCGAGTATTTAACTCTGGACTCCCGTTAATTTCGCACCCTGTATATTTTGTTTTGCATTTTCTAGCATTTTGGCGAAGAAGGGATCAACTAACTATTCAATCACTAAAAACGATCCAGTATTGATTATAATATATATTATTGATATATATAGATAATGACCAATCGCCAGAGACAAGTAATTAACCAATCATCAGTTGCTATAAATGATCTCTTATCGATTATGACAAATATATCAATAACGACGAATCGCCGACGACATAAGTCTGTAAGTAATGAATCACTCAGCTGTTAGAAATGATCGGTTATTGATTATAACAAATATATCAATAAAGATCAATCGCCGGGGACATCACTATGGGGGGGGGGGAGGGTTAACACTGACCTGAATCTTTCCTGCCCTGCTGTATCCCAGATCTGTAGTTTCACAGCTTTGCCGCCGACGTTTACGATCTTAGACCCAAACTCCACTCCTATCGTGTGATTTGAATCTGCTTTGACTGCAAAATGAAATCAGGTGATGTAGGAAAAGTAATTGATACGTGTTCACTCACGCTCGCGCGCGCACGCACGCACACGCGCACGCACGCACACACACACACACACACACACACACATTGATGCATGCATGCACACCCACACACACACACACACACATTGATGCATGCATGCACACCCACACACACACACACACACACGTTAATGCATGCATGCACACACACGCATGCATGCACACACACGCATGCATGCACACACACGACACTAAGGGCTGCTCAGCTTGGATCAATTATTTCCGGCATCCGATTATGAATATAATTTTTTTCGACATTCATCCGCACTTCCGAGCCGATTCGATTTCCCTTTAATAAATTATGTAAAACATGAGCCGTGAAAGTACAGGAAACTCACATGATTGTCTCTACTATATGATAAACTCATAGCATTTCTTATACCTCGCTGTGCTTAAATACCAACATGGCAAGTATATATTTTATCTGTAATTCAACCAGAGTGACCTGCGTCGCTACTCGGCGATGCTGCCGCAAGCAGACAGACATGCTTTTACGCGTAGCACCAGCATTGAGATATAGTAAATCAGTGAGAACAGGAATTACCCACCAAGACAATAGAACACCACAGTTATTTGATTTCCCTGTATGCAGCTCGCCCCTGGCACTACTTCCCATAATGGCGCGCGCCTCAGTCAAAAACCATGCCAACCGCA